GATTTTAATTAGATTATTTATTGTCCATTGGAATTTGGAAGTCACAAATTATTCTTTATCAGATTGGGTAAATATCAAATTTGGTTACTGGGTTTACCAAAACGTGTCATGTTTAGTCGCTAAAAAAATGTTAATATCAATTTTGATTCCTCAAATCAGTAAAACGGTCCACGTTTATTATTACTACATCATTAAAATAATTAAAATTAACAATCTCCCTGCATCTCGCATGTAAATCCTGGAAATTATCGTGAAAAAATCCAATCCCTGCATCCCAAAACCTAATTGTAAAATCTCACTGTAAATCCGACAAGTTCAACCGCATGCCCGTCTTCTCCACGAGTTGCTATTGTTTCAGCTCTTGCCGATCTCCAAAACCCAAACCCAGCAAACAAGAGCTCTGCTCGACACCGACGAAGTGCGTTCTCTAGCTACAGCCTGCCCGTCTCTCCACGAGCTGGCTACTGCTTCAACTGTTGCCAATCCCCAAAACCGGTCCCAGACACGGCGGTGCTGCTCGACGCCAGCGAGGTGGGTTCTTCAGTCGAGGCTAGCAATCATGATCTCGAATTTGGGATGACAATGGGTCGGGTTGGATCGGGTTTTGCCAAACTCAAATCCAAACCCATGGGTTTATTCGTGAAAAAATCCGAGGTAAAACCCAACCCAACTCGCTGGGTATCCGCGGGTTCATGGGTACCCACGGGTTTTTGTCGTAAAAAGTTTACAATAACAAGTTCCTATCAAAATTAAAGTCAAATATCAATCTCTTAAGACAAATTATCCATATATAGAACACCATTCTAGAAAATTCAAACAAATCACAAATTAACTATACAAATTGTTCAACACCAATCTAGAAAACTCAAGAAAGTTGAAGGCAATCACAAATTATCCATAAATAACATAATTAATTAAAAATTTCTTCATTTCAATTAAGTTTCTTCACTCTCCACTCGATAACATCAACTTCATTCTACACAATTAGAAAGAAAAAATTATACTTGTCTCCACAAACATAAATAAGATTAGTTGTTTAGAATATTAAATATACTGAGAAAAATAATTATATGAGCGTGGGCGGGTACCAATGGGCCGGGTTTACCTATACCCAAACTCAACCCAACCCGGTAAATAGTAAGCAGGTTTAAACCCAAACCAGGCCCAAAACCCGTCAACACGGATTTTACCCCCATTGACCGAGTTGGGTCGGGTGGGTACCCGTGGGTTCAGGTTTTGTTGTCATCCCTAATTACGATCTAGGTGCCGACGACTTTGTCATATATAAGCGATTCCAGCTGTTGAACGACGCTTGGATCCACAACCAACACTGTCAACTACTTCTTCTCCGGCGAAATATACGAAAGCTCCATACTCAACTACTTTGGATGGAGTTGTACCACTACCTTTCCTCCTCTTCTGCACCAACACGAGAGGACGGCGGAGGTGGAGATTGGAAGGACCGACGGTCAGCTGAGAGCAGTAGCTACGGGTTACAGGGATCGGAATTTTTCTGGGGATAGGTCGGATGGAGAAGAGATTTTTTTTGTTTTATTTATTATTTTAATAATGTGGAAAGAATAAAAATATTAAATTTGTTTTTTTAATAATTTTTTAATTGTCAAATAAGATATTTAACGATCAACTATTAGTGTTGACTGCCAGATAAGATAAAGTTAATGGAGAGTGAATAAACGTGGACTGTTTTACTTATTGGAATGACCAGAATTGATATTATGTTTTTTCAGTGACTGAACATGACACGTTTTAGTAAACCAAGTGACCAAACTTGGCATTTAATTTACCCTTATCATATTGGATTAAGGTTAGGCCGTCTGGAGAAATACTATACATGTACTTCTCAATATCTATAATCGATTAAAGTATAGTGAAATTGGCGTTCTCCTGTTCTTTAGACTAACTAACACACTTTGTGTTACTGAACCACATAAATCTGTCTGGTCTTTACTTTCTTACATAGTCAATTATCTCAATCCGTTTTTAACAAATGTTGTATCAGAATACCAATGGTATAACATTTTATATTAAAATCTTTATTCAATCGTGCTTTAATCGTTTTATACTTCTAAAATCGTCTACAGATGTAGACCCTGATTAATTCTCCCCGCTCCACCTGCATGCGGCTACGGATTCAAGAACCCGTCGGTAATCACTATTCACCGGCGTGCTCGGCATTAATTTGCATAGCAAAATATAAAGCAGAACCGATAAACACCCGATGGTTATAGAAACTATGTATTAGGTACAAACTACTCGTTATGAATATATAGGGATAGTTTGCTTATTAAATTTGATTATGCATTATGATTCCTTTCCCTCCCCCCTACTGTTCTTATTTTGGGAAATGGAGAAAAATTCATTGGAACCCTCATCATTTCCCCTACTTTCTCTCTCCCTTTTCAAAAAAAAAAAAAAAAAACACAATGATAAAAAATCATACAACAAAATATTTTGTCATAAATGAATCGTCTCATCTCCTTTTACAACTCTACTACACAAGTCTATATAATATTTCACAATTTTGTAGTACTAGCAATAATCGGGTTAATTGCATGGTTGGTCACTGAGATTACAAAAAGCGTTCATGTTTGGTCACTCTAAATATTTAAATCCGTTTTTGGTCACTAACTTTACAAAAACCGTTCATTTATGGTCACTCTCCGTTAGCTGCCGTCTAACGCCGTTAACGGCGTCCGTTAAGTGATGACGTGGCTGACGGATTTGCCTAATAAGCACTTTTTAACCCCAAAATTGACTGACCCGACCTGCCACATCATTTAAACCCTCCATGCCAGCTAAACCTAACCAAACCTCTAACCAAACCAGACCTGCTAATTAAAACAGAACAAACCCGACCCACCAATTAATCTACCCACCTTTGACTAAAACCCTAATCGAAGACAAATCCATCCGCCTCCATCCCACGCCGCCTTCCTCCTTTCCGTTTTTCTTCCTCTCCAACTCTGATCGCGAATTCCACTTCTTCCTTCTCCAATTCTGCCGCCGTTACAGACCTCAGCTCCCTCACTTCCCAATTGAGCAGCATTCGCATCTCCTCCGAATCTCCCTGCTCCTTCCATCCCTTCAAGACGGCTCTCCAGCCCGTTGTCGCCCGTGAGTCTGCCATTCCTGCTTTGGTCTGAGTAGATTGGGGGGAAATGAAATGGTCGATTGATTCTGATTGATATTTGTTGTTTTGGGTATTTTTGCAGGGAGAATCTGTCCATTCACAGGGAAGAAAGCGAACAGGGCAAACAAGGTGTCGTTCTCCAACCACAAGACCAAGACACATCAGTTCGTGAACTTGCAGTACAAGAGGGTTTGGTGGGAGGCAGGGAAGCGATGGGTGAAGCTCCGTTTGTCCAACAAGGCTTTGAAGACCATCGAGAAGAATGGCCTCGACGCCGTCGCTAAGAAGGCTGGCATTGATCTTCGCAAGTTGTAATCCACTCAGAAAGCAAGTTTCTTTCTTTAAGCTTTTCAAGGTTGCCCATTACATCTAGCAGGTTTCGTACCTAGAAGACCCAATGTATTGAAGTTCAAATTTATGTTTCTAGTCAGTTGCTTCGGATTCCATTTTTGTAGATTCAAATCAAATTCCACCCCGGCCACGCCGATTTCTCCGATGCTATATAGAGAGAGGAAAGCGGTCAACAGAAACCAGTCTGCCGGCCAGCAGCAGCAGCAGGGATGTGGCCTGAATCTTTTGACGTTTAGCGGTGGAAGTGGTATCAGAGCTTTTGTTCCTCTGCTCTTTTTCTCCTTTGGTTTGGTTTTGCTTGGGCCTATGTTTTGGGTGGTGGGGAGATGAAGAACGAGAGGAAGGAGAAGTGGTGCGAGAGGATGAGAGGGGTTAGTCAAAGGTGGGTAGATTAGTTGGTGGGTCGGGTCAGGTTTGTTTTAGTTAGCGAATCTGGTTTGGTTAGAGGTTTGGCTGACATGGCGGGTTTAAATGATGTGGCAGGTCGGGTTAGTCAATTTTTGGGTTAAAAAGTGCTGATTAGGCGAATCCGTCAGCCACGTCATCACTTAATGGACGCCGTTAACGGCGTTGGACGGCAGCTAACGGAGAGTGACCATAAATGAACGGTTTTTGTAAAGTTAGAGACCAAAAATGGATTTAAATATTTAGAGTGACCAAACATGAACTCTTTTTGTAATTTCAGTGACCAACAATGCAATTAACCCAGCAATAATCGTTACATTAAGACTATCTTCATAAGGAGGAGGAGAAAATTGTAAGGTGAAGAAATTTTTTAGGTGAAATTTTTTTTTGAGGAAGAAAATACTTCACTCATATAGATGAAACATTAGATGACTCTCCTCCCTGGGAGACGAGCTAACTTCAAGTTGAGGAGCCGCGACCCGATGATCTCCTTCCTTGCGCTTTTGTCGAAGTCGTGCCTTTTGCTTCTAGGTCGAAATTTGATCGGCAAACCTGCCCCCCTTTTGTGTGACCTCTAGCGATGCATACTTGCTTATGAGGACCGTTTGTAGTCATCGTACTGACGCGTCCGTATGCTCTCCTACATCCTTCATCTCTTGCTCCATTCTCTCCTGACATGCTTGTAGCGCCTTAACTGGACTGTTGAGAAGATCCTGACCATCGTTGATATCTATTGTCCTTGCTTAAGGTGTAGTATATCTCTCTCAAAATTTTTGCGCAGAAGCTAATAAACATATATGCTGTCCAGTTTCATCGTCGGCAGCCTCTTGAGATACCGACGATGTTGGAGTCTTTCGTGGCGACATCTTTCCTGGATTCCATTGAGTGAAGCCCAGCTGGCTCTGATACCAATTGACGTGTGCACGAATCCACATACCGGATGTCTCGAACTCAAAGATAGATCAACTACGAAGAAGTAAGGAAACACGATGAATCTACAACTAAATTACTACTAATACTTGACTTATCATTGATGAATAAAAACGTAGAGGCAATGTACATATTTATAGGGAAAATCTTAAAACTAGGGGTGTTAGTCGGTTTCGGTTTATCCGAAAACCAATTTTTCGGTTATCGGTTAAACCGAGCGACCACCTCCGGCTACCGACCACTGACCGTGAAAGATACAGCGGATAGCCGACCACCGACCGGTCGGTTAGCCGGTTTTGATTCGGTTAACCTCATGCCCGAAAACCACACCCTAATCTAAAAAAAAATTAAAAAAATCAGAAAATACAGGAACCACTTATTCCTTATCTTTCCTTTCGAACCCTCCACCACCACCACATTCATTATCTGCTCCGTCTCTCTCCTCCATCCTTCTCTCTCCTTTCTTTTCCACTCAAGTCTCAAGATTCAAGAAGCAGCCGAGAAGGAGGGCTTGCCGCCGACGGGAGAGGGAGGAGCGACCTCGCAAAGCCGGCGGACAGAGGCGGAGGGAGACGGCGTTCGCGCGGCGGCGGTTGGAGGCGGCAGGCGGCAGGCGGCGCGGCGCAGTGCGGCGAGTGGAGGCTGTTGCATGCAGGTCGCGGCGGTTGGAGGCGGAGCCGTGGAGGAAGTTGTTGTGGCGGTGGAAGGAGGGGGAGCGGAGGAGGCAGGGGAGGGCGGCGGCTGGTGCTGGCCATTGGCGGAGGTAGGTGAGGGGTTGTGGGGTCCATGGACCCCACTTGAAATATGAATATACATTAAAAATCGTGGATTTTTAAAGTGGGGTTTGTAAATTTAGAACTACGGACCGCCTCTTCTCGAGACAATAATTTTACTATTGAGACAAACTTCGTAATTGGTTATGTTTGGACCCTACTAAATTATATATCTGACTACGCCAATGGTGCTGGCGGTGGTGTCTGTGGAGGTGAGGGTGGAATAGAAGGTTGATAGGAGAAGAAGAAGATTTAGGGATTCGAAAATTTAAGGAGAAGAAGAAGATTCATGGAGAAGTGGTTCCTGTATATGGGTCGGTTGCTGGTGGTGAGGGAAGGGAAGGGAGGGGTCGAGGTGGTTGCTGGTGGTGAGGGAAGGGAAGGGAGGGGTCGAGGTCGACAAAGGAGAAGGAGAAGGAGGATAGGGTTTGGGGTGGACTTTTGTGCGCGGGTTTTATATGGGCCGGTTGGCCTCGGTTACTCGGATAGCCGATTTCGGTTGCTCGACTAGCCGACTCTCCTACCAGCCACTCCGACCACCAACCGAGACTCTATACAGTCGGTTTTCGGTTAGCCACTAACCGGCGGTTATCGGTCTAACCATCCGGTTAGCCGCTAACCGGCAACCGAACTGCCACCCCTACTTAAAACCCTTTCCTCCCTAAAACAAGGTAAACAAATGCTAAACCAATAAGTAAACGGTAATTTTCTACACAATATACTACAAATAACACTAATCTTAAACATAAACCAATAAGAATATCACAATTACATTACTAACCATAAAGACAATAATAAAAAAAAGAATAATAATAATGATCACGTGGTCTCACAATGCACAATCTTATACCAGATCTGGTATAAGATTGTGTGGAAGGCCTCCTCCTAAGCTAGCTAGTTCTAGCTGTCTCCTTCACTCTTCTGATTGGGTGGTTTGGGGGCTGCCTTGTCATCTCATAAACTCTAGTTCTGTTTGCAAGGAGGATTTTATGTCTAGATACTTAATGCTTTCTCTCTCTGCTATGCCTTGAGATTGACACTAGATTAATGGTCGATTGTTGCCTATGGATCTTGATAGCTATCAGGTGGGATCTTAAAGATCTTGTGTCTCAGGATTGTTCCAACTAAGGCCGAGTTATTTGGTATGTCTGCTTGTTCATCTTGGTTGGCCAATTCGGCCATGAGAGCCACTTTAATAACTCGGCTCTGCTCTTTAATTTGATTAGCTCTGCTCTGTAATGATGAATAGGAAGGTGGGAATGATACTCAAAAGTCTTTCCGGCTCTACAATAATCACAACTTCCACTCCACTCTTTTCTTTCCAGCTCCCATTTGGGTAGTTCCTCTTGCTGCGTGCATCTAATCGTATATGGTTGTGTTGGTTAATCACAAATTACAATTGCATGTTATGATTAGTGGTTAGGGCGGGGTCAATGCCTCAATGGTATGTTTGAATTTTGTTATATGTTGTACAAAAGGTTGAAGGTAGAATATGTCAGTACTCTACGCATTTTTATTAAACATTCTTCTTTACTATTTTTTAACATCGAATATGTTTTTGTATTTCCAAAAAATGATCAGACATGCTTTTCTATTAAAATTTCTATCCAAAGACCATCAACCACGGTCAAATATTGGTTTAGGCGACACAAATGTCTAATATACCCTAATAATTTCACTAAAATCTTTTCTTTCATTTGTATAGCTTAATATCCCTAATAATTTTACTTTAACGAGACTTATAGAAATAAAAAAGAGGGCAAATATGACACTTTTCCTCCCATTTTGCCAAGGTTGGGTCGTTCGAATCATGGTTCGACAGTAGTTGACAATTTTTGGATGAAAGTTCTAATAGAATGACATGTTTGATAATTTTTTCTACGTACATAAGCATTGATCGATGTAAGAATCAGTAGAGGGACATGTTTGATAAAAATGAATAGTAAAAAAGCATATTATACTTATAACCCTTGTACAAAATATTGAATTATCGATGCCCTGATGAAGAAAAGATGATTATGTTTTTAATCGTTGCTCTCTTATTCACTCTTCTATATATCTTCTCTTTTGACAATTTTTGTCGTTATCCTATGACCATGCTCATCTTCATAGGTCGACAAGGTAAGGCGACACCTAGGTGTCGTCTAAACATAATTAGACAGAGTTAAAGCACTAAATATCAAAGAACATATTAAGTTCATTTGCAACTTCAATTTTCTATCTCAATCTTTTTAATAGCTTAAGAATTTGGTGAGCACTCATCGTTTCTTTTTTTCTAAACTTGCGAGATGATTTCTTTTGTTAAATATTATAATCTTTTGAACGAAAGTGAAAAAATGTTGCAAATTGTTATTTCATTTATCACGTAGTACAAGTTACTATTTCTACTTCCAACACTTAGTGATCGTTGAGTCATTTGAAAAATGCATATTTATCTTGTTCTTACGAATATCCCAAATGGCACTATCGAGTCATTTCTAAATGTCTCTTATCCACAAGTTATTTATAAATAATTAATTAATTATCCATTTACTTTTCATATATATCCTGCTATAAGTTAAAAAAATCCACTGCTACCACTCCCTTATCTCTTATATTTTTCCTCTTCTCTTCCCTCTCCTTTATATTGTGTTTTCTTTCTTCCTTTTACTATCCATTCTTCTTCCTCTTCAGCTCTGATGCTAGTCATTTTTCGGCAACCACAACCCCGAACTTCCTCATTAAACTACATCTCCTCATTGCCGCCACCTCTGCGCTCTTAGGTTTCTCTCCAACCCATTAATTATTTTGCTCTTTCGACCGAGTACTAGAAACCCGTCATCTTCTCTCATTATCTCCACTGGCAAACCTTTATAATATCTACGTTTCTCAAATGTCTACATCTGAACAAATCACTCGTTTTGTAAAATATCTCATACCGAACAAAGCAACAACGATAATATTATGCAATTACTCATTTCCTTACTATTAAACCCTACTAGCTAGTCGAAAGAAAAATGAATAGGGTAAATGCCACATTTGTTCACTAGGATTACTAAATCGTGTTATGTTTAGTCGCTAGAAAAAATTAATATCAATTTTGGTTACTCGAATTATTAAAACAGTTAACATTTAGTCACTTTCTCGTTAGCCTCTGTCCAACTTCGATCACTCGAATTACTTTTTTATATGAATGGCACTCGAATTAATGAAACATGTCACATTTAGTCCATAGCAGTACGCGATTCATTGGTAAATAGACTATGCGAATCCAATTCGATTGTTTACTTTTATTTTCAATTTCAATTAGTCAATTTAACTTGAAAATTGACTAATTTGGACGGAGGCTCACGGAGAGTGACTAAATGTGACATGTTTCATTAATTTAAGTGACGAAAATTGATATTAGTTTTTTCCCAATAACTAAACATGACATGATTTAGTAATCTCAGTGACCAAATATGACATCTAGTCAAGATGAATGAAAGTAGGGTGAAGAAAGGAAAATGTACGCAACTATGCAATGGTCTGATAACTTCCTCGTTAAGTTGCCTTTATGATCATTTTGAAAAATACAAGTATCCCATCAACTCAAACCCCAGGTTTATAAAACCGAGGCTTCACTCTCACTCTCACTCTCTGTCTCTCGTCTCAACTTCGTCTCTCCGGCGCTGTTAATTTTCCTTTTGCTCTTCCGTTCTTGTTTCATATCTAGAGGCGCCGGCGGCTACTCCCAACATTTGAAACCCCCCGATCGAACTCATGTGGAATCCAGAGGCGCCGCCGGCCTATTTCCCGCAGCCGCCGCTCCCTACGGTGGTCTCCCACCAACCGGCGGCAGCCACCATGCTCATCTACGTTCCATACAGCCAGCCGCCGCCGACGTTGTACTATGACAACTACACCAGATGCTACTACTATTGCCCTCCATCCAATCTCCTCCTCCTACCGCCGCCGCCGCAGCAAGACGTGGATTATGTGGCTCCGACCTCCATAGCTGCGGCAGCATCACCACCGTCAGCTCTACCGGATGCTAGTTCGCCTCTTGACGGTCCGCTACTCCCAAATGGAGAAGAGACAACCGTTATGATCAAGAATATCCCTAATCGCTACAAGTAAGTACGTTTCATTTGTTTTTCATTACTACTATTCGCTATTCATGCATGTGTATGATCAGTTCACCATATATAGTTGCGATGTGTTTATTATTTAATCTGGAAGTCCCAGGTTCAAATCCGTTAATTAGACTGTAATACGACGATGTTATTCCTGATTTGTATCTCGTCGTGTTATGGCGAATGTGGGCAGCCGGAGGATGCTGATGGAGTACGTCGACGGTCACTGCCTGCTCCAAAACCAGAAAGGCATGGGGAATGAACAGAGCTGCTACTCGGCATATGATTTCCTCTACCTTCCAATTGATTTTGGGTAGTTACTTTTCTTTGACGAGCTCTCATTACCAATATAGTCAAAATCACGCTTTAAAACTTAAAAACTTACGATTTTACGTTTCTAGGTCACTAAAACGCTTCTACACAAAATCTCAGTTTTTATAACTAATGTAGTTAAAAACTCCGTTTTAAAACTTAAAAACTTATGATTTTACGCTTCTAGATCACCAAAACGTTTCTATGTAAAAACTCGCTTTTGATTACATTGCTCATTACTTCCAGCAGCCTCTGTTTCACGTTTTTAGGTAAAAGTTGATGATATTCATATGACATAGTTTCTGTATTCGCATGATATGGTTGAAATATTCACACAACATAAATATCATATTCACTGCATGCACTTAATATTTGAAGTATATAGTGTGACTATTAAACTATGTAATCCGAATATCATCAATGTTTATCTCGAAGAATTTGTCAAAACGATTTATATTCATCTTATTAGATTGAACAAATATTCTAAGTAAGATTGTACTAGCTATAAAAAAAAGTGTAAGGACCATTGAACGAAAATAGTGTAAACACCATAGTCGGAGTGCTAATAAGTTGAATAAATATTCCAGTAAGAAACTCAATAGTAGTTAATTTAGCACGATAACTTAGGCATCATCAATTCATATGTTTGAGCCACCAATCACCGTTTGTACAAACATAGACAAATTAATAATTAGCCCTTCCAATATCATGTTTTAAAAGTTAAAAACTTACGCTTTTATACTTCTAGGTAATGAAAACGCATCTACGTAAAATCGTGTTTTTCACTTATAATGGTAGTCAAAATCTACGCTTTAAAGTTTAAATGCTTACGTTTTTACATTTTTAGTTCACCCAAATGCTTGTATATTATAATCACGATTTTGACTACATTGATTCCAAACTTCAACTATCGTTCCAACAATCGAATAAACAGGAGAAATGCAAACAAAGGTTACGCGTTCGTCAACTTCACGAGCCCAACGGCGGCCTGGAACTTCTACCTTGCCGCTGACAACCAGCGGTGGTCTCATTGCAGATCCCGTAAGCTGGCCACGATCGTGAGCGCCAAGTTGCAGGGGCTCAACCAGCTGCTCGCACATTTCGAACCCACCGTTTTCTCCTGCCACTCCGACAACTTTCTGCCCGTCCGCTTCGATCCACCACGGGACGGCTCCAACAAAGATATAGTGAAACAGTGGACGGTAGGGAGGCGCCGCTTCTGACAAACAGCAAAAAATCGTTAGTTCTATGGCTCTATATATGCTTTAATTTCTTCTTAGCTTTCATTTTGCCTGTTTAGTATATATGCATATGTATGTGATCGAGTACGTAGTGCCGTAGGTAACTAGCTTGGCTGTGTAAGATGAGCGCCAGTATGCACGTGTTTTCCAACAAACAAGAGGCTTTTGTTTGATATTAACGTTGGAAATTTAACGTTTTGAACAATTATTAACCTCATCGAGTTCGAGCATGGGATTTTGATGTTTTCATGGGTTTTTAACAATTTACGCTAAGGTACTCCATGCTATGGAGGTTTAGCGAGAGATTAAAAAACTAATCCTACGAGTACTTTGCTGAGAAAAGGGTAAACTTGACATGTAGTAGAAAGTTGGTTTTGGGAACTTTTTTTCCAAGTCTTGTGTAAAGTTTTTGCACATCCGCTCCTCCTATTGCATTGGTGCTTGTTGTCGATAACCAGTTATTCCAATAATTCTAATTATTGTGAAAGGTTCAATTATGAATCATATATTATTTGCTAGCACACTTCCTCAAACGAAAGCTACCATATATGGGGTTGAAACTTGCACGGGAAAAAAAAGCGAGTGCACAAATAATTAATTGGGCCCAAATCACTTTGTCTCGGGGAGAATTAATTTGGGCCGGGGATCTTCTATTGGGCGGCCGAACAGAAAAGTCTTGGAGACTATTTTTTTTTGGGCCAAAGGAAATTCTGTGTGGGCGGATCTCTTTTGGGAGAATAAAAGAAAGAAAAGAAAGGCAGCAGAAGGGTGTTGGTTTTGGGCTGAAAAAGAAAGAGAGGCGGACAAGGTCTCTTTAGCTTTTGGGGGAAAGGCAACACAGGAGCGGATTTTTTTTGGGGACTTTTCTTCTGTGGGTTTTTGGTCACGGAAATTCTTTGGGCGAAGGAAAGCAAGGGCGCAAGGCAGCAGCAGGCAGCAAGAGCAGCGCGGTTTGGTGAATTGGTGATCAGCTTTTCCAAGGTTTGAGCTGAGTTCAACGAAAGCGATTAGTTGGTTGGATTTTCTAAACCGAACTAGTTGTGTATTGTTGATTTAGAACATGATGATCAGAACCCTATCGATTTATCTCAATTTCGTCATGAACTAAACCCCGATTTCTGGAGGAAACACCATAAGATGTAGCTATTTCTTGATTTGATGGATTGATTCATGATTCTTTTCCTCCAATCTCTATTGCATGAAATTACTTAATGCTTTGTGTTGACTGGCCACCAATACAATGAATCGTAGTTGATTAGGTTATTAGCGACAGTGAAACCCTATTAACTGAACCTGTTTCATGTGACATAGTAACTTATCGAAGCGACAGTGGATTAAATAAGGTGCTATGCGGTCTTAAATAGGATATCGATCTTCAGACTATATAGTTAATTCATTGAGCTACGACAGTAGGATTTGAATTTATTATTTAGTACGTAGTAATTCCCGACAGGGATAGCTAGCACATTCGTGATATCCTGGCTGTAGAGGTATGGATTAAATTGATTGGAATGTGTGAATTAATCTGGATAGGATATGTAGTAAATCCCGGTGTTTCTCCCAGAGCTTTCTCCCATTGATTTTCTCCCGACCATTTTACTTTGCTTAATTAGTTTAATCATTTTGCTAGTAGTTAATAATCTCATTTAACCATTTTCACCTATAGTTTGCTCTACAAAATTGATAGAACTTAAGGTTGTACCAGTCCCTGAGAGACGATAACCGGACTTTCCGGTTTTCCTACGAGATAGGAAATTGGCATGTACGCTTTTGCCCTATCAAGTTTTTGGCGCCGTTGCCGGGGACTGCCATACCTTATTTTTGTTGATTTTTGTGAGTGAACTATTTTGATCTGGGTGTTAGTGTGCAGAAGAATTTTCAGGTTTATCTTCCTCGTGCATGCCAAGGAGGACGACCGACAATTTACTGCCACTTGATCCAGAGATAGAGAGGACCTGCCGACAGAACAGGAAGCAGGTCAAGTTAGGGAAGCAGCCTACCACATCCACAACTCCTAGGCCTTCCCTAACTCAGAATCGTCAACCGAGAAGGCAGGTGTCACCACCTGTCATCCCTACACCACCTACACCACCGCCGCGCGTCATCGAGCCTGTCATCATGGCAGAACAGGATCGTTCGATCAGGGCTCGCTTGAATCGAAGGACTGGAGCCCGAGCTTCATGTGTTGTCATTCCGCCTGGGGATGCAAACATGGAGATTACCCCAGCCTTCATCAATATGATCACTAATGGGTACACCTTCTCAGGGGCTAGCACCGAGGATCCTCATGAACATCTCCGCCGGTTTGCGAGCATATGTGATACGATGAAGAGCCCAACTGTGTCCGATGATGCAATTCATCTTTGGATGTTCTCATTCTCTCTGATAGGGAATGCATCACACTGGTTTCAGAACTTAACACCACGTTCCATCACGACATGGGCTCAGCTTGAGAAGGTCTTTCTGGATAAATACTTCCCAACTGCCTTGGCAATGAAGAGGCAAGAAGAGATTGTTACTTTTAAGCAGGCTGATGATGAGAGTCTGACTGAGGCATGGGAGCGCTATAAGGGGCTATTGATGAGATGCCCAAGCCATGGTCTTGAAGATTGGAACGTGATCATTATTTTCTTCAATGGAATCAGAAGGGAGTTCCAGGATGCCCTGAATAATGCTTCTCGAAATGGTTTCACAAGCATGGAGGCACCAGCAGCATATGATCTGGTAGAGAAGATCTGTTCAGAAGCCACTGAATGGGGTAGTGAGACCAGTATTCGAAGAAGAGGAGGCTTGCATGAGATAAACAGAGTTGCGAGTCTAGAAGCCAAGATAGATGCTAAACTGGATTCCAAGTTTGATGCACTCGAACGAAGGTTGGCCAAGATTGCTCTGGGTAGACAAGAAGAGGTTGCTTCATGTGAACTTTGCGAGGGTCCTCATCATAGGGATATGTGTCCACTGGGAGTTGCTCAGTTGGAAGATGTCCAGTATATCAATAATCCGCGAAGTCAAGGCCAGGGTGGTATGTATTCAAATACATATAACCCTCAATGGAGACATCACCCCAATATGTCATGGTCAAACAATAATCCAGCGGGTGTTCGAAACATCCCACCTCCTGGTTTTCAACAGCAGTAGCCTCAACCACAGAAGAAGCCCCAGCTGGAGGAGTTGATTTTGGCTCATATGCAGAAAACAGACAATAATTTAAAGGGTCTTGATCAATTTTTCACTCAACAGCTAGCCATCAACAACAATATGCAATCATCTATGCTAGCTATGGAGAGGCAAATAGGCCAGATGGCTCAAACTTTGGCAGATATTCAAGGTAGGATTCCCAGGACTTTACCAGCAAATACTAAGAGGAATCCGAAGGACGCCATGGTTGTAGCCGTCACCTTGAGGAGTGGAAAGGCCTTGGAGGATCCAGAGAGTCCAAGGAAGTCGACAATATCCGAAAAAGAAGGAGTTATAGAGGTAGAAGATGAAGAAAGTGCAAAAGCTGAAAAATCTGACTTGCACAGGCAAACTGCATGCAATCTGCATGTGCAAAAGCATGCTGCCCGTGTACCTCGAAAAGTGGAAAAAGTGAAGAACGAAGAGGTAAAGCCTTATGAACCTCCCGCACCATTCCCTCAAAGGTTAATGAAGCCCATGGAAGACCCAAACTTCAAGAAATTTGTGAATATCTTCAAGCAACTTCATATCAACGTACCGTTGGCGGGGCATTTGAGCAGATGCCTACATATGCTAAATTCTTAAGGGAGTTGCTGACGAAGAAGCGCAAATGGGCTGATCTGGAGAAGGTAACCCTTACTTCTGAATGTAGTGCCGTGATTCAGAATAAATTACCAGAAAAGAGGGATGATCCGGGCAGCTTCACCATTCCATGTGTCATTGGAGGTACAGAATTCAATAAATCACTTTGTGATCTTGGAGCAGGAATTAATTTGATGCCATACTTAGTCTACAAGAAATTGGGATTGGGTGATGTTCTTAAGCCTACTCGGATCACACTCCAATTGGTTGATCGATCAGTGAAAATTCCAAAGGGAGTGGTGGAGAATGTATTGGTGAAGGTGGGGAAGTTTATTCTCCCAACAGATTTTGTAATTCTGGAGATGGAAGATGATCGGGGAGTGCCTCTAATTCTCGGTAGACCTTTTCTAGCAACCGGTGATGCACTCATCGATGTTGGGAGAGGCAAGTTGACATTCCGAGTAGGTAAGGAGGAGGAAATTTTTAATGTCTTTCAAGTTGACAATAATCACGATGCATTTGATGACTTTGAAAGTGGAGCTCGAGAAAGGAAAAATTCCTCTTCCTGTGATAGTGGACCACCCAAAGAATTATCACATGTCATAGCAGCTCAAAGTATGAAATCAAAGCAAGGGCAGAAATCCTTGCCAGGTCACCTCAAGTATAGATATTTGGGTAAGGATTTCAATCTTCCTGTTATTATTCCTTCTTCACTGACATTGAAACAGGAAGAGTACTTGCTTGAGGCACTGCAATACCACCTGCGCCTCACTAAAGGGTCCAACATGCCAGCTAAGAAGGTCATACCGAATTTTCGCACACCTGGCCGTGCAGAGGTGACTCATATGTTGGATGGAGGCTATGCGTTCTATCATTGCTCGGGAGGGTATTCTGGATACCTTTCCATACCCATTGGTTGAAAACTCCATGAACGTCAGGCTGAGGACGTTAAACAAGCGATTCTTGGGAGGCAACCCAAGGTAAGTTTTCTTTTCTTTATTTTTCTTTTTCGTTGTGTCAAACCCGTGCATGTTTAGATTAGGAGTTGAACATTAGGGACAATGTTCCATCCTGAGTGTGGGGTGGCGAGTCTTAGTGTTTGTTTGTTCCTTTTGTCATGTGGTTGTAAAATATATATATATATATATATATATATATATATATATATATATATATATAAAATTGCCATTGGTGAGTCTTACTGTTGTTTGTCCCTGTTGCATGTGGTAAAAAAAAATCCAAAGAAAAAAAAAATTGCCATTAGGTTGAGCACTAAAAAGCAGGCTGCCTGTGCAAAGCTAATGGCTAAAAATTAGAAAAATTAAAAACAAAACCTTGTACTCTTGTGGTAACATGATGTAAATGACTGTGCTGCGTGTGAAATGAGTTTGTGCTTGAATGAAATCATCGAAATCACCCCACTAGTGTTGAATTGCATGGTTCTTCACAATGAGCTTAAATGTTTTGACTGACTTGATATGCTTGGAATGAGCTACTCTTTTAGCAACATTCTTTTTTGTGAGGATAGTGTAATGACTTTTGGTGAAGTAGTTAGGTGGAGAACATTGACCATTTGACATGTTTGGATACCGTGCTTACTTGCATCAATTGTGAGCTTTTGATTTTGCAACGAGTCTCTCTGTTTTGATGGTTTTATGATGGGGTGAACTGTATCTTCATAAAAGAAAACACTACCTAACAAGTAAAATATAAGAAAGTTGCCATAACAATTAAAGTGTGGGTAAAAATGCCAAAATCGTGTGAGGCAATCACTCATTGCACATGGGGATGAGGAAAGATTCAATTGAGAATCGGTTTGCGACCGTACGATGTTGCTTATCAAGTACGATCCCCAGTTGAGTGAAGTGCCATTTGAGGATGCAATGACCCTCCACACGGACCGAGGAAAAGAAGTTGAAAGAAGCCCTTATGCGAGTGCTAAGAAGCAGAAATTGCTCTTGCTCGGTCACCGGTAGTAAGAAACAAATCCCACTTGTACTAAATACGACCTCTCGGCAAGCAAAAGCAGAAAGAGAGAAAGCCTCTCCTTGTCATAAAAGGTAGTGATGTGCTTAAAGTAAAATCATGTTTGCGAAAGGCTTCCCCCATTAGTTTTTGAGACTCATGCATAATTAATTGCTTATGATTGGTGTGAGTAAGCCAGACTGTCCTCACGAGATATGCACCTCACTGATGTGGTTAGATTCTCCTAATAATTGTTGCACCATAAGTTGTTAACCACCCACTACCGACGATCGAAATTGAGTGTTGCTATTTGAGTTTTTGATGGATTTGAGTCAGTCAATGGTTAAAGGTTTGCAAGACCTTGAGTGTGGGGTGAAAGGTATGATCATTAGAGCACAACTTGTCCTTTGAGAAAGAAACTACTAATTACAACAAGAGTACAAGGAAATTTTGTGTTTTGCTTTGAGTGTTTGATTAGTGAGTCTGTGGTGTGTCATTGTTTTGGATGATTATGTGTTTGTGTTGTTTGAGTCGTTGCTTAGGGACAAGCAACAATTGAGTGTGGGGTTGTGATATTCGGTTTTAATATATCGGATTCTTGGACTTTTTGTGACTATCCTATGATCTATTTTAGCCGATTGGTGCTATTTTAGGGCTCGCTAACCCGTGAATGGTTGAAAAACCGTTACTGCCTAGTGCTATGAGTTTGATATGTTACAGGTGGAGAAAGCACGAAAAAGAAGCGAGTGCACAAATAATTAATTGGACCAAAATCACTTTGTCTCGGGGAGAATTAATTTGGGCTGGGGATCTTCTATTGGGCGGCTGAACAGAAAAGGCTTGGAGACTATTTTTTTTGGGCCAAAGGAAATTCTCTGGAGGTGTGTGGGCGGATCTCTTTTGGGAGAATAAAAGAAAGAAAAGAAAGGCAGCAGAAGGGTGTTGGTTTTGGGCTGAAAAAGAAAGAGACGCGGACAGGGTCTCTTTAGCTTTTGGGGGAAAGGCAACGCAGGAGCGGAATTCTTTTTGGGGACTTTTCTTCTGTGGGTTTTTGGTCACGGAAATTCTTTGGGCGAAGGAAAGCAAGGGCGCAAGGCAGCAGCAGGCAGCAAGAGCAGCGCGGTTTGGTGAATTGGTGATCAGCTTTTCCAAGGTTTGAGCTGAGTTCAACGAAAGCGATTAGTTGGTTGGATTTTCTAAACCGAACTAGTTGTGTATTGTTGATTTAGAACATGATGATCAAAACCCTATCGATTTATCTCAATTTCGTCATGAACTAAACCCCGATTTCTGGGGGAAACACCATAGGATGTAGCTATTTCTATATTTGATGGATTGATTCATGTTTCTTTTCTTTCAATCTCTATTGCATGAAATTACTTAATGCTTTGTGTTGACTGGCCACCAATACAATGAATCATAGTTGATTAGGTTATTAGCGACAGTGAAACCCTATTAACTGAACCTGTTTTATGTGACATAGTAACTTATCGAAGCGACAATGGATTAAATAAGGTGCTATGCGGTCTTAAATAGGATATCGATCTTCAGACTATATAGTTAATTCATTGAGCTACGACAGTAGGATTTGAATTTATTATTTAGTACGTAGTAATTCCCGACAGGGATAGCTAGCACATTCGTGATATCCTGGCTGTAGAGGTATGGATTAAATTGATTGGAATGTGTGAATTAATCTGGATAGGATAGGTAGTAAATCCCGGTGTTTCTCCTAGAGCTTTATCCCATTGCTTTTCTCCCGACCATTTTACTTTGCTTAATTAGTTTAATCATTTTGCTAGTAGTTAATAATCTCATTAAACCATTTTCACCTATAGTTTGCTCTACAAAATTGATAGAACTTAAGGTTGTACCAGTCCCTGAGAGACGATACCCAGACTTTCCGGTTTTACTACGAGATAGGAAATTGGCATATACGCTTTTGCCCTATCAATGTTCAATTGTGGATATGATATACCATTTATCAAGATTTGTAACTTGCTTCATTCTCTATATAACACACCCTTGCTACCATGTAAACCACTTGATACCTAAATGGTTTGAAGAATTCACAACGAAGGGAATTGAACAAACTAGCCTGCCCAAATTGAGTTGAATGAAAACAAAGAATTAGTTTGTAACATCCCGAACCTTTTCCCAACGAAGATATTTTCTGTTTTAGCCTTAATTCTCACGGTTTTTGGCTAGTGTTGCAATTCAAGGCGAGCACATTTAATTTCGGAGTTCTCACAAGAACTCTTCCATTTCAGCCCAAAATGCATCTTGTCGGTTAAAATCGGTTTCTTACTTAGGAAGCATGGATCTCTCTCGTACTTTATCGATGTGAGATTTGCCTATAGTGTTACATGACTTCTCACGCCCATGTATTGGAGAATAAGCTCAAGTCCCAGTTCGTTGGCTAGTCAGGTGTCACGGTAAATGTTGCCACTACTTTCGCCGAGACCCTTGAAGCCAACGAACTCCACAAGGTAATCCAAAAAAGAACCCATCTTTCATTTACGGTCGTTGATTTACTTCTTTGCTCTGCTTTTATGCAATTACTTGTATAGGCCAAATAGCATAGTAGTATTATCTGTTTGTGAATCTTTTCCACTGTTATATTTAGCTGTTGGGAAAACTTTGTGGGGAATTGCTTTTGCTCATTTCCCAGAAAAATTGTGCTCAATTAGTACAATGTTGTTCGCTTTGTACCTAGTCAATCAACACGGTTTTACTTTTAGATATCTTCCCCAAAAGGTCTTATACCAATTGGGGTAGGTGGACTCTAATATACAAGGATCATTTCCCTTGTGTTTTCGATGTGGTACTAGGATTGTCTCATAACAATCCTTCGCTCAATCCAAGGACCACGAACTTCATGTCCTTCCTAAGGATTATCTTGATCCGCCAAACCAGAAGTGGATCTCTCATGGATCCACAAAACAAATGCATATCTCAAATCCTAAGGTCACCAAATGAGGGTCCCACCAAATTGACGTATACTGCCTGAAATCGAACCAGACTATAATACCACTTGTCCACTTGTCATAACCGGGTAGCTGATCACTTGAATCCGTGCATGTTATTTTCAATGGTTTGCACGTATCAACAACTATCCCATCCTAAGCCAAGTTTAATCTAGGACGGCATTGCCGTATAGTGGTAATAAAGGTCGTATTCTACTCAGATCCTGGTATCCTAGCCTACATCCCATCTTGTTGTTAATTAGGTAATTGGTTTTTGAGGTTTTGAGTGGAGGATATGAGGAAACACTAGTACAGAGGTTGATCAAAGCTAAAAGCAGGCACTTCGGGGAACTAATTCTCCCCCTAGCTTAGGGATACTATGCATGTATAGATACATAGGATTATCGAATGTGATGAGTGAGCTCTTTTCTGTGGGCCTTCGTCATTATGCACACGCCTCCTAGTACACGTCCCCTAAACCCATGTTTCAGTCACCTCGATATAGGCTATCGTATCTGGGGCGTTAAGCTTATGGCCCATTTCAATGGACACTATCCACTGTCCACACTGAGGTTTCATCTCGGGTTTCATCTAGGAAGACTACCTATAGCAGGGGTTTGGTCGCCTTGACCACTATAGGCCCCCATTCAACTCATCTAACCTAAACTCGCCAGATGGAGCATACCCGTCTAACCCTAGAACTATGTACCTAGCGCGGTAGCATAAAGCATCCTAAGAGGGAAGATTGAGGCCAGTTTCCCAAGCGTCATCATTTAGGAAAGAGTGGCATTAAGAATCTACTAGACAAACACATTCATTCATTCAATCCCTAAAATATACATACATACATACATACATACATACATACATAATAAACCCTAAAAGTAGTGTTTGGAGTTTAGAACCCATAGTACCTTAGAGGACTACTCCATAAAGGAGGGAAGAAGATACATGGGGAAGATCCTCCTTGCTCCTCCTTCTTCTCTTTCTCTTCTTCTCCCTTTAGCTTCTCTCTCTTCTCTCTCTCTAGATCCAGAAATTTCACCCAAAATCAGCTCTCTTAAAATGGGGAAAGGGTTCTTCTATTTATAGGCATTCTGGATTCGGAGAAGTTTGCGGCCTGAGGATGGGAGATCGTGGGCGGGATCTTCTAATAATAGGTCGCGATCTCAAGACGACGTCGTCATGGCCTTCTAAAGGGGGGAGATCGCGGGTTGAATTCGCGGTCGCGATCCTCAAGTCGTAACCGTGATCTTCCTCGCGGGCAAGTTGAATGTTGACCGTGACGCGACTGGGGAAACTCTCCACTTCTCCAAGGCTCCTTCTTCGCGAAGTTCGCGCCCTGGGCCTTCAAGATCGCGGTCGCGATCTTCGTCTTCTGAACCGCGATCTTCAGCGATTTTTCATGACTGGAGATACCGGTCGTGATCTTTGGATTATAGGCCACGATCTTTTATCCTTGCCCCTTTTCTACACTTGTGACCTTGTTTTGTACCTAATTTGCACATATTGACTAATACACCATATAATCACATCAAAATCAAATATGAACGAAATAGAGATGTATTTGAAAATGTTTAAACGCTTTAGCACATGAATTGACACAAAACATATCTTAAGATAGAGGGTAAATAACACCAATTTTGGTTTTATCAAACTCTCCCACACTTAGGCGTTTGCTTGTCCCCAAGCAAACCTACTCAAACCTAATGCAATATGATAGATGAATCAATGAGGCATGCATGCTAGTTCTTCTTTGCATAGATAAGAGTATACGAGGATGAATGAATGTTACTACCTTCCAACTATACAAGCACAAACTCTCGTGTGAGGACGGTATCTACTACCTTAGATCGATCATTCAAAATGTGCTCCGGGGGATTATCCGACAACAAACGACTAATAGAACTATAAGTGGTGCCTTTTATTCATACTTTTAGTTTAGGAGTTGTCATTTTTCGGTCTCCTTTTTCTCTGTTCATGCACATTGCACCAAACTCTTGCAATTTCTTTCATTGCATAATAGCATCTCTCCCTCATATGACCAAGAGCAGATGAATCATAGCCTTCCCTTTTAAAGGCCATATGAGGAGAAATTGATGATCAGATTCGTCTTAGCCCGAGCACCACGTCCCAGCCTACACTCCATGTTGGTTTGCCACACATGTTGGGTACAAACGAGAGCTACGAGGTCTCGTGAATCGCTAAAAGTACCTTTGGTCCTTAGCATACGATTCTGTAAGGAGGAGAGGTGTTTGGGGAGTGGTAAGTAGTAAGAGATGATCGGGACGCAAACACATCCTCGAAGGGCACTTCGAGCAAGAGATCAATCCTTTGGCGGTTGATCTCAATTCTTTGCCCGGTTGCCACTCACGTGAGAACCTCTTTTCTATTTTTAAGCACAAATTGAAAAAGTTCCTAGTTCACATAAAAATAGAGAATCTCCCACACAATGCCTTCCTAAGATATCAAACACTATCGACTCGCACTAGAGGAGGAAAGTAGTAAAATCCCTCACGTACCGATACTCAAACCATGCAACTATCACCTAAGGTGCACAACACATCAATCAATCAATCTAGTCAAATCAAAGCACATCGAGTAAGTAATTGCAAGGATGAGGTGTTTTGGAACCCTCAAATTCGAAATGTTTTGGGTGTGCATTCAAGGTTCCTAAAAACGCCAATACTTCACCGTTTATCACCATAACAAAGGCATGATCACTAGCATACACTCCCATGAGCATTCATCAACGTCTTACATTCACAACCAGGGGAGGATACTAGCAATAAATGGTGGCACCAATCATGATAAACATTCAAACATGTACAAACATCCCCCACACTTGAGCAACACATTGTCCTCAATGTGGGAGTTCGCCAAGAAAAGATCGTGAATGTTACCATAGGTTGGGTTCTGGGTTGGTGAAGGTTCAAATGTGTATTCTTTGTTTTCCTGGTGGTTTTCACAATGATAAAGTGTCTTTATACTTCATTGCGGGAAAGTGCGGAAGGTGAGGAGCGGTTGGAATTGGCCGGTACATCTTTCATCGGAATGTTCAACTTCTCCAGGTTCGCGTGGATGCAAGCCATTATGTGAATCCATGCTTCCTTCTCCCTTTTTTGGTTGTGAAGTATAGTCGCTATCATAGCCTCAGTTCTATAATCTCTTGCATTGTTGCTCGGTGGGTGAATCGGTTGAAAAGTGGGAATAGGCACCTCTCCTTCTTCATGTACGCTCTCCTCTTGGTCTTCCTCGGTTGTCAATCCTCTTTGGTCCCTTGCCCTCCTAGCTTCCGGAAGATGGAATACAGTTCCTCCCACGTCCAATGTATTGGTGGGTTGAGAATGGGAATCCTCGCACACCCCAAATGCCATCATTGCTCATGTGTAGCTCCTTAACTTTAGACTTCAAGACACCGAAGGATATAGGAACGGTCCTTTGATCCAAACAAAATTGCACAGCGCCGAAGTCGACTTGGAAATATCTGGCAAGTCCGGTGACGTACACTCCTCCGTGGAGTGCGGCAAGTTGGTGATCCAACTCGTAACGCTTGAAAATAGATAAGATTGATAGGCCGAGATTGAGAGATTGTGGGAGGTGCATGCTATTAAATAGGGTGATGTCTCTGACGGTGAGATTTCCCTTAGTTCGATTCTTTCCACCCACGGACTTAGCAATCACGTGGTGGATGAGTCTCCACTCCGGTTGTACCTCACTGGCTTTTGATAGTCTCACATCCCATTGTCGGCTCTCGGGTTTCTTGACTTTAGACTCATAGAAGGCCTTGAAACAAGGGAAGTCGGATTGCCTTGTCAAGGTGGCGAAATCATTAGGTGAATCAATGAAGCCCGCCGGGTAGTTGTCCATTTCTCTAGTGAACTCCCACATTGACATGTGACGGTACTCTCCTTTGAGTTGAAATTGAATGTTATCCTCCAGGTCGGCGACACCCCTCATGTCTCGAATAGTGAGTGTACTAATAAAATCAAGAACAAGCACTCGATATATGTGTTCTTGAATAAAGAGCAACTAGAGGCATTCCAATTTCTGTAATTTAGAGCGGATTGCATCTTCAATCCCAAGTTGGGCGAAACGAATCCAATCGAGACAAGTAATTTCGCCTAAAGGTATCCCTTGAAGCCATAGAAGTTTGCTCTGGAATTGCTCGGGTACATGCTCTAAAAAGTAGTGAGTGATATGCTCTACGCCGCCTTCTTCATATTGAGGAACTACCCTTGATTGATGTTCAAGTCGTGATGGTGGATGAGTGTCTTCTACAACCACTTCCTTTGACTTGGACTTTCATGTTTTCTTCTTTTTCCCTTGGAGAGGACAAGATGTTTTCCGAGGAAGAACTCTCACCATGTGACTCGCCATGACACAACTCCTAACAATGGCCAAGTGTAACCAATGAAAGGGACTGCAGTATAATGGCTCAAGTAATAAATATCGAATGCACGGGTCTCTAGAGTTACTATTACTCAACTTCAGTTCATTATCTAGCAAACCAGACTAAGATAGAACAACTAAAACTACTCTAGCAAACTACGGTTAAAGTTAATCTAATTACAGGTTGGGATCTCACATAGGTATGATTCCCCCTAGCCACTAGCCAGATTAATGATTGATGATCTCTAACCTGTTCCACTATCATTCACAATGCGGAGAATCCTTAACTAGACCTTGAGTCTCGACTAAAGGAACAAGGCCCTCTTGAGTCAATTGCCTAGAGGGACGTATCCTTCTCTAGAACAACCACTCAAGGCGTTCTGAACTGGACTCCCTCTATTGAATGGGGTTGTCAATCGATACAAAGCATTGAATCAACCCTCGACTAAAGCAATCGATCCAATACTATCAATTTGTGGTGCTCTATTGACCTAATCAGGTATTCGCTCTCATAGGATCAAAGCAGAATCAATAATCTCGACTAAAGCATAATTGAATCATGGAAACATGCATAGATTGAATATGAACTCAAGATTATCAAGTAAGAGTACTCATACAATCATCCAATCAAATAAACATAGCTAGGGTTCCTCAAAACCTAAGTGAAGGGAAGTTACTCCATAGAAAAGAGAGAGACTACAGTAAAAATCTTCAGATGATCAGTCTTCAAGTCCGGGCTTGTTCCTCGAGCTTCCAAGGAAAAGAAATCCTCCAATTTCTCTCTTTGGTTTGTCCCTTGGGTGTTTGGGAAACCCAGCTCCCCCCTCAAAAATCGCAGAAAATAGACTTATACCCGAGCAGGGGGCAGAAACACGGTCGGGAACACGGCCGTGTTTAGTTCTGCTCGTGTTTTGGTCCCACCCGTGTTTTAAATCCCTTCAGCAGTCTTCACAAGAGAGGCTCGGCATAAAAAACACTGGCAGGTGCCAGATGAAACACGGTCGTGTTTTGAGGGTAGTCTGCCTGTTTTTCTTCCGCCGAACTTGTTCCCCTATATTCAATGCTTCGTTTCTCCCTCGTCCGGACTCCGAATCAACTACCGTTTGATCTTAGACGCTCGTAGTCTCGTCCTATTTCTTTTCATTACAAGATTGCATGATTCTTTGTCCATAAATGAGGTAGAAATCCATTCTTCTTGAGGTCATGCCCAAGTTTCTTGTGCATATGCCTCCCTTTACTCAATGCGCATATGCCTCCCTTTACTCACTAGGACCTAAAATGTGAAAAAGGAACACAACCTAGCTAAAATAGGTCAAAGAAGCGATAATGCAAGCTTAAACGATTAAGAAACAAACGGGAAAACATGTGAAAATATCGAGTCATCAAATCCCCCCCACACTTAACTGTTTGCTTGTCCCCACGCAAACCTGACTAAAAGCAATGCAACTCTCCAAACCTCTATAGCAACACGCAACCCCGATCGTCGGTAGCGGACTTCCTCATTCATTTAGCAGCTTACAAGGTCACCCGTTATTCTAAGACGTCCCTTATTTCTCTCAATGCGAGTACTAGACTCAAACCAGGATCAGGCGAAGTAGTGGACCTAGGACAGAAAATTCATGGACAAAGAGACTCACTCACAAAACACAACAACTAGGGACTCTTCGTATGGGTGCTCTTTCATTCCATTTCACTTGTTGGAAACCCTTTTCTTTTTCTTTTATTTTTCTCACTTGTACTTTGTTGGGGTTCCAACTGGAGTTTTTATATGCGCGGTCGACCCTTATTGGTTGAGCAAGAGCAATTTCTTTACATCTGTCACTCGCCAGAATACTTCTTTTAACTCCTATTCCTCACTTCGTGTGGAGGGTCAATGAAATTAGGGGGGTCGGAAGCTCTATCCGTGCCCTTAAAAACACATCCTCGAGTAGGCAAACCTTCCAACGGGTGAAAATTTACTTGTACTAGAGACCAGGTTAGCTTCACCCTGTAGGAGTACCCCACTAAGGATCACTAAAATATCTTCCAAAACCCGATTTTGTGCAATGAATGGTGCCACACACGTTGGGCTTACCCCATGTTAAAGATTTCAATTTTTTGACATGGAGGACCAACTGCTTTATCATTACACACCTGAGCACCCTTATACGAAACATGAGTCCAAACACAGCAAGAGAGAGTCATCGATATCACATGAATCAAATGTCCTATATTTACTAGTTAACACAATCAACCGGCACGGTAGGGAGATAGATAGGAAAAATCTTATACTTCAGCATCCTCCATAGTGCTACAACTACCTCCCTAGGTTGCATAATACTATAAAGGTTGTCAATTCAAAGCATACTGAGTAGGAAATTGCAGGGAACACATACTTAGAGCCCTCAAATTTAAAAATTTGGACATTGGACTAGGCTCCAAACACACACATACAACAAAACATTCACACGCATATATAATTGAACATCCCCCCACACTTAAGCACGACATTGTCCTCAATGGAGGAAAGATAAGGAGGGTAGAACGAAGTTACTAGATCACATGTGAATGATGGTGGACGGGGCAGGCAGTGCATTCCAGGAGGAGAGAGTAGTCGGAACACAAATACCACACAAAATCTCACAAAGGTTAAGTTATTGACTCTAAAATCAAAGAACAAAACTGACTCAATCGAGGAGAAATAGGGAAAGAAATGCAAACCGACTGGTTGGGTTGCCTCCCAGTCCCAACAAGCGCTTCTTTCACGTCTTGAGCCGGACGGTGGATCCTAAGTTTCGGTCCATGCTAGAACCTCTTTGAAGTTGAGGTTCTCATTGATGAGGTGGAGTCTCAAGTCACGAGCATGTGGTATAGCAGGTGATGAAGGCTCGTGCACTTGATGTAGCTAAACTCTCCACCCTCGAGACCTCTTCTTCGTTTCTTCTCGTCTCATTGCCCCAAACCAGATATAACCGTATTGACTGACCACCATCGCTTCCAACAAGAGGGACCGATGTCAATGTGGCCTTGGTCAGGCAAAGAGACACTGCGAATGGGTCCTTGCCAAGTAGTTCCTCAATGTTTGGTGGGGATATGACTTGTAACATAGGGCCGGTGCAAGCCTCTTCCACCTCAACTTCATCCCCAGCATGGATGCCAATTGCTCTTTCAACCCCCCTTCCCTCTTCAAAATGTGGTATTGCCCCTGGGAAAAGATCAAGACTTTCGTCATCCTCCACAACTTCTTTCCCCATCCTTTCTCGCTCTTCTTCTTCTAGCACGGATTGGAGAGCAAGTCGCCAAACAATTTCTTTCATGAGATCATCTTGCATCTCCCTTGCTCATGCCCACCTCTTCAAAGCTCGGTGTGGGATGTGGGAAGGTGTGTTCGGCTACGACAGGACATTTTTTATCAGGATCATCACGGGAGCTCTCTGTGACAACTTCGTCTTCCTCCTCCTCTTCTAGTATAGTAGCAGAATGGTGATCTTGAGCAAGATGTGCATAAGATTTCTCAAGATCCTCGAGGCTCTTCTTAATGCTCAGGAGATCTCCTCTATTTCACGATAGGCCTGGGTACAAAGATCCATCTTGGAGTATGATCTCTCAGTGTCTCGAGCAAACTGCTATAGGTGTCAAAACAGAACCCGACCCGATTAACTCGCCCGCAACCCGAATTGACTAAAAGTAAACAACCCGTAACTCGCCCGACCTGCAACCTGATTAACCCAAACCCGATTGACCCAAACCCGATTAACCCGTAACCCGACCAACTCAACCCGAACTTCACCTAATCCACTTGAATTATTATTATATTATACAATACATAGTTTTTCAAAATAAAATTTTTCATTCTAAACTTAGATAAAATTATTTTTTCATTTCGTATAGGAAATTTAAAAAATATGAAACTCACGTGATATTATGTATTTTAAGAAAATTACAAAAATTTAAACATGAACGTCACTTGAACACTAAGTTCTTTAACAAAATTAAAAAAGTAAATATAAAATATAAAATCAACACAATGTCAATATTAATAATTAAGAATTAATAGTTGAGATCATGGACAATATTAATATAATATATAAATTAAAATTTTGGTTAATTTAACTATTCAATATAATTATCAATTACATATAAATAAAGTAAAGTAATGTATTTGGTAATTTGAGACTTTTAAAAGAAGAGGGAAATTTTGGTGTATTCAACTTTTTGGGAAGAGAAAGAAGAGAGAAATTTGCTTCTTTGAATTTTTGAGCAAAGAAACAAGGGAGAACGACGCGTGCATGATCACTGAAGGAGACAGACGCCCGACTGAGCACTTGAGGCTCCTGTACAACGCGTACAGCAGCGGGTCAATGAGGAACTTGAAGCCCATCTTCCAGTACTCCGTGTACACCCCAAACCACTGTCACATGTGGCAGATGACATGGCGCCAACAAGGTGACAACATGGCGGCTGCACATGTGGCATGTATGGAAGACTAGTAGCATAGAGATGCTCCTAGGATTCTCCACCTTAATAGAGAGCTTAATGGTGCACTTATGAGTCACATAATGAGGTGACATTTATAGAGTGCATAATGGGGGGACTTAATGGGGTGTACTGATGTAGAGGGACATTATGAGGGGCATTGATGACTTGTATGAGGAGAGGCCTATATAAGGAGCCATCTCCCTCACTTGTAACTCATTCCATCATTTTTTAGAGTAATACACACTAGAGAGTTCTCCCATTTCCTTTGTCTTTGTTCTTGTTTCTTTGCTTGCAAGTGAGTTGAGAGAAAGGCTGCCTAGCGCTCTAACGGAATTGAGAGCTAGGGCCGCACGATCGAGAGTAAGGTCGTGACAAGTGGTATCAGAGCCCCGTTCGGCTTTGTGCTAGCAAAGTAGAGGCAATAGCCAGACGAAAAGGAAGAGCCTCCCCAAAAATGTCTGGATCAGAAGTCAATGACGACAATGAGAGGCAGCGTGGCAGAGAGCCTACCCCAGGCGGGAGGTCAAAAGGCGCGTCGAGCACTCGTGATCCTCTCAAGTCTCTAGAGAGGCTAGTCTCGAGGATGGAGGTGAAGCTTTCTGAAGATGTCACCGCCATCGAGGATTTGGGAGCTAACTTCGCCCAAGTCTAAGGCGATGTTCAAGGTATGAATGCTCGTTTGTTGAGCTTGGAGATTGGTCATGATGGCATACGGGAAGAACTTGTGGCCCTCATCAACAACACCATCAACGCATGCTTGAACAATGCCATTGAAGTTTTGAAAGAGCATGTCCAGGCTGAGCTGGTCGGCGTGAAGGAGGAGATTGCAGACCTCAAGAGTGAGGTCACTCTCGTGAAGAGAGCCATGGCTAGCGGACCAGCCCCGGTGCAATCCGTCCCACATGCTGATGTTCCAAGACTGAAGAGCTTCGGAGGTTTAAGGAACGCGAGGGAGTTAGAGAACTTCCTTTGGAGTCTTGAGCAGTACTTCAAGGCGTCCGACATCCAAGAGGATGAGGTAAAACTCCGTACCGCTCCACTATACTTGGTTGATGTTGCAATAGTGTGGTGGAGGCGACGGGAAGCGGACTTCGAAAGAGGTACTTGTGTGATGGTAACGTGGGAAGATTTCAAGAGAGAAATCAAGAAGCAGTTCTACCCAGAGAACGTGGAGTTTGAAGCCCGTTCGAAGTTGAGAAGACTCACCCAGAGGGGTGGAGTTCGAAAATATGTGAAAGAATTCTCGTAGTTGCTTCTAGAGATCCCAGACATCACGGACAAGGAGGCCATGCACGGCTTTCTTGATGGGCTGCAACCATGGGCCAAGATGGAGATGCAATGTCGAGGAGTGCAAGACCTTTGCAACTGCCATGGCCACGACGGAGTCTTTTGTTGAGTACAGAAGGCAAGAGAGCAGCGGCAAGGAGAAGAGTTCAAAGCCCAACAAGGGTGGAGAACAGCAGAAGCCTTTCAAGGAGGGTTCTCGCACTCAACAACACCAAGGTGGTTCGAGCAAAGGGGGTAAGTACAAACCAAAGCCCGTATCTTGTTTCCTTTGCGACGGACCACATCGAGTGCGGGATTGCCCAAGGAAGGCGAGATTGGCGGCCCTGGAAGCTCAAGATGAGGAGCCCAAGGCGGCGGAGGCCAAGATTGGCTCAATCCGCAAGCTTGGCGCGGTGAAGACCGACGTCAAGGAGAGCAAGTGTGGGAGGTGCTATGTTCTGGCGCAATTCATGCAAGGCGAGTCAAAAGCCTTGGTGGATACCGGTGCCACGGACAACTTCCTTTGCATCGAGGAGGCAAACCGGCTGGGTATTGCCTATGAGAAGGGGCAAGGGAGGCTCAAGACGATCAACTCGGAGTCCATCCCGATCCATGGAGTTGCTCACAACGTGCCAGTGAAGCTTGGCGAGTGGGAAGGCCTCATCGACTTTTCCGTCGTCACCATGGACGATCACCGAGTCATCCTCGGCATCAACTTCCTCGACAAGGAGGGAGTGCTCTTGAAGCCCAACTGCAACACGATGTGCTTGGAGAAGGAAGGGGAGTTCCATGCGGTCCATCTCTTGAGAGAAGATGGCCCCCATAGTGCTCTATCCGCTATGCAGGTATTGAAGGGGTTCAAGAAGAACGAACCAACCTTTCTTGTGTCCTTGAAAGTGGAGTAAGAAGGAGGCTCAACGGGAATCCCAACTCCCATCATCGAAGGCGTCCTCGAAGAGTTCGATGACATGATGCCATCGGAGTTGCCCAAGAAGCTGCCACCAAGAAGAGAGGTGGACCACAAGATCGAGTTGGAGCCAGAAGCGAAGCCCCCTTTGCGAGCACCATACCGCATGTCGCCACCGGAGTTAGAAGAATTGCGGAGGCAACTCAAGGACTTGGTGGACGCAGGCTACATGCGGCCATCGAATTCACCTTTTGGAGCACCGGTGCTGTTCCAAAAGAAGAAGCAAGGGTTGTTGCGCATGTGCATCGACTATAGAGCCATCAACAAGTTGACGGTGAAGAATAAGTGGCTGATTCGACCAGCTTGGAGATGTGATGAGGTTCACCAAGCTTGATCTTCGCTCGGGCTACTATCAAGTGCGTATAGCAGAGGGCGACGAGCCAAAGACGGCTTGTGTGACGAGGTATGGCTCTTACTAGTTTCTTGTGATGCCATTCGGTCTCACCAACGCACCAGCCACGTTTTTCACTTTGATGAATCAAGTGTTCGAGCCATTCTTGGACCGATTCGTCGTGGTCTACTTGGATGACATCGTCGTGTATAGCAAAACACTCAATGAGCATGCCGAGCATCTACGCCAAGTCTTCCAAGTCCTTCGCGACAACGAGTTGTACGTCAAGAGGGAGAAGTGCACATTTGCCGCCACGGAGGTTCCATTCTTGGGGCATATCATGGTGGAGGCAAGTTGAAGATGGATGGGGCGAAGGTGCAGGCAATCCAAGAATGGGAGCCACCGACGAAGGTGCCAGAGTTGCGGTCATTCCTCGGCCTTGCCAACTACTATCGGAGGTTTATCAAGGGCTACTCCAACATTGCAGCACCCTTGACGGATCTCTTGAAGAAGAACAAGGCGTGGGATTGGTCGGAAAGGTGTCAAGAAGCATTCGAGGCCTTGAAGGCAGCGGTGATGAAGGAGCCCGTGCTCGTGCTCCCCAACCCGACGTTGGCCTATGAAGTGCAGACCGATGCATCCGACTTTGCAATTGGAGGTGTGTTGATGCAAGATGGGCATCCCATTGCCTTCGAGAGTCGGAAGCTTAGCGAGACGGAGGCGATACACCGTTCAAGAGAAGGAGATGACGGTCGTGGTGCATTGCTTGCGCACATGGAGGCACTACTTGTTGGGGTCAAAGTTCGTAGTGAAGACGGACAACGTGGCAACGAGCTACTTTCTGACGCAGAAGAAGTTCACCCCTAAGCAAGCGAGGTGGCAAGACTTTTTGGCCGAGTTCGACTTCGTCATGGAGTACAATCCAGGCAAGGCGAATTCCGTTGCCGATGCTCTTAGTCGCAAGAGTGCAGCCGCAAGCATCAGCCAGCCCATGTTTCCTTTGAAGGAGCAGATCGTCGAAGGCCTTGGCCATGACCCCTTCGCCAAAACCATAGCGGAGTACATCGAGCAAGGTAAAACTCGGCGGTTTTGGATGAAGGATGGGCTCATCATGACCAAGGGAGAGCGGGTGTTCGTCCCAAGATGGGCCAACTTGAGGAAGGAGATCATGAAGGAGTGCCATGATTCCAAGTGGGCGGGCCATCCCGGCATCGAGAGAACGCAAGCGCTTATCGAAGAAGCATACTTCTGGCCGCGTATGAGAGACGACGTGGAGATGTATGTGAAGACTTGTCTTGTGTGCCAACAAGACAAGATGGAGAAGAGAAGCCCGACAGGCTTGCTAGAGCCCTTGCCCACGCCTCAACGACCATGGGAGAGTGTAAGCATGGACTTCATCATCGGACTTCCCAAAGTCGATGGATGTGGTTGCATCATGGTTGTGGTGGACAGGTTCTCGAAGTATGGAGTGTTCATTCCTGGGCCAAAAGACTTGACGGCAGAGGATGCGGCACATCTATTCTTCAAGAACGTGTTCAAGTGTTGGGGCATTCCTAGCAACATTGTGAGCTACAAAGATGGGCGCTTCACGGGCATATTTTGGCGAGAGTTGTTCAAGAACATGGGATAAAACTTGAACTTCTCGACGACATTTCATCCTCAAAGCGACGGACAGAAGGAGCGGGTGAATGCCTTGTTGGAGGTGTACTTGCGGCACTACATGAGTGCAAACCAACGAGATTGGGTGAAGTTGATGGACACGGCACAGTTCTCCTACAACTTGCACCGCAACGAGTAGACCAACACGAGTCCATTTGAGTTGGTGACGGGGCAGCAACCTTTGACACCTACGACGGTTGCAACGGGGTATAGAGGCAACAGTCCAGCAGCCTACAAGTTTGCTAAAGGCTGGCACGAGAAGATGGAGATGGCCAAGTCTTACTTAGCCCGCGCTAGCAAGAAGATGAAGAAATGGGCGGATAAGAAGAGGCGGCACTTGGAGTTTGAAGAGGGAGACATGGTGATGGTCAAGTTCTACCCTCATCGCTTCAAGCATCTCAAGAACGTGCACAAGGGACTGATTCGCCTCTATGAAGGGTCATTCCCCATCGTGAAGAGGATTGGCAAGGTGGTGTACAAGGTGGAGGTGTCGTCGCACTTAGAGATCCATCTGGTCTTTCATGTGAGCCAACTCAAGGCTTTCAACCAACACAAGGAGGACGAACAGCGAAGAGAGTCGCAGCGCGCACCAACACTCATCACCAAGACACACGACCATGAAGTTGAAGAAATCAGGGCGTGTCGTGTCATTCCTCGTCGTGGCGTACATCCAAGCTTTGTGGAGTATTTGGTCAAGTGGCGGACCTTCCGGAGAGTGAAGCAACTTGGGAGAAAGAGCTCACGCTTTGGAAGAACAGGGATTTGATCGAGGCATTCCATCAAGAGGACGCGACGAGGGCGTCGCGAGCATAGGTGGGGGAGGATGTCACATGTGGCAGATGCATGGCGCCAACAAGGTGACAACATGGCGGCTGCACATGTGCATGTATGAAAGACTAGTAGCATAGAGATGCTCCTAGGATTCTCCAACTTAATAGAGAGCTTAATGGTGCACTTATGAGTCACATAATGAGATGACATTTATAGAGTGCATAATGGGGGGACTTAATGGGGTGTATTGATGTAGAGGGACATTATGAGGGGCATTGATGACTTGTATGAGGAGAGGCCTATATAAGGAGCCATCTCCCTCACTTGTAACTCATTCCATCATTTTTTAGAGTAATACACACTAGAGAGTTCTCCCATTTCCTTTGTCTTTGTTCTTGTTTCTTTGCTTACAAGTGAGTTGAGAAAAAGGCTGCCTAGCGCTCTAAAGAAATTGAGAGCTAGGGCCGCACGATCGAGAGTAAGGTCATGACACCACCCAGGGGGGGGGGGGGCAGTTTCCAATCTTGCTCCGCGCGGATGGAACCGCGTACTCCCAATTGGGGGGCAAACCCAATCCGCGCACATATTCCGTCACTTCCCTTCGCCCGTAGATGGACACGTGATCAGGCCCCCGCAAAAGGTTGTCATGCGGTGCTGGCTCCGCTCCCCCACATTTCCGCCTAGTACAAAATGGTGTAAGCCGTGCCCACACCGTGAACGCAGAGCCGACTCATCGCCTCGGACAGGCGCGAAACACAGATAGGCTCTGATTGAGGGTCAGAGTCATCTCGCGGTTCGGCATGCGCGTCCCTGGACCCACCAGCGCGGTCACGGCGGATTATCAACACCCCGCGAGCACGCGTGCTTGGTTCTCCACTTGTAGACCCTACCATATCCACATCGGAGGATCTGTGTAGGAAATCACGTCCCGAATCGACTTCGTACGACGGCGTCGCCAGAACTCCCTCATCATCAGCCCCGCCGCCGTTTCCGTTGCCGGAATCGGCCAGATCTAGCGAAGGATCGGTAGAAATATGTGAAAAGGGGAAAAATACCTTCTTTGTCTTGCACGACCTCGATCTCGTCAATATGGGTGCTGGCCATGGTACTCCTCTGAGTATTAACAACAACAAAGGAAGAAATAAGGTTGTAGAAGAAGGAGAGGAATCTCGGCGAGGAAGCAAACACAGAAAGGAGAAGCAGAGTTTGATAAGAACAAAATGACTTGCCCCCCGATAGTGAACTGGTATTTATAGTTGACGAAGGGAAACTGAAGGGTTAAAGTCACATCGGGGATCGTAACCGTCAGTGCTTTTTTGAATTTCAAAACCGCCGCCTAAAAAGAGCAATCACATAAGGACACGTGGACACCTACCACACGTAGACACTAGCCGGTGACGTCACAGGTTCCGCGCACCGCCTAGGGAACATGACATACCCGCGGAAAGGAAAAAGGCACACCCAAATCCAATCTCAATCCCAAAAGTCACGCAAAACCAGACCAGAGCATCTCGCGGAGATCACGCAGACCCGATCCCATCTCGCGGAGATCAAACAGGCGGCATTCCATACCAGAGCATCTCGCGGAGATCAAGCAGACCCGAGCTGACACTCCAAAAACACAACTCCTAACAATGGCCAAGTGTAACCAATGGAAGGGACTGCAGTATAGTGGCTCAAGTGATAAATATCGAATCCACGGGTCTCTAGAGTTACTATTACTCAGCTTCAGTTTATTATTTAGCAAACCAGATTAAGATGAAAGAGCTAAAACTACTCTAGCAAACTACAGTTAAAGTTAATCTAATTACAGGTTGGGAACTCACTTAGGTATGATTCCCCCTAGCCACTAGCCAGATTAACGATTGATGATCTCTAACCTGTTTCACTTTCATTCACAATGCGGAGAATCCTTGACTAGACCTTGAGTCTCGACTAAAGGAACAAGGCCCTCTTGAGTCAATTGCCTAGAGGGACGTATCCTTCTCTAGAACAACTGATCAAGGCGTTCTGAACTAGACTCCCTCTATCGAAAGAGGTTCTCAATCGATACAAAGCAGTGAATCAACCCTCGACTAAAGCAATCGATCCACTACTATCAATCTATGGTGCTCTATTGACCTAATCAGGTATTCCCTCTCATAGGATCAAAGCAGAATCAATAATCTCGACTAAAGCAGAATTGAATCATGAAAACATGCATAGATTGAATATGAACTCAAGATTATCCAGTCAGAGTACTCATACAATCATCCAATCAAACAAACATAGCTAGGGTTCCTCAAAACCTAAGTGAAGGGAAGTTACTCCATAGAGAAGAGAGAGACTGCAGTAAGAATCTTCAGATGATCAGTCTTCAAGTCCGGGCTTGTTCCTCGAGCTTCCAAGGCGAAGAAATCCTCCTTCTCTACTCCAAGAATGCCCTCAAATCGCCCTCTCTCTCTAGGGTTCGTCCCTTGGGTGTTTGGGATCCAAAACCCAGCTCTCCCCCTTCTTTGGTTCGGAATTTGGCTTAAAACCAGGAAATCCCGACTCGCACGGCCAGGGTGCACGGCCGTGCATATCACCATTCTGGCCGTGCAACTCAAAACGCAGCGTGTCATTTAGTCGAACCTCAGCCCTCTCGCACGGCCAGGGTGCACGGCCGTGCGAGCTTCAGGGGTTGCCCGTGCGTGTCCTCGGCATAAGGCGCACGGCCATATTGCTCACGTGCACGGCCGTGCAGCCTCCCTGGTCTGCCCGTGCAGCTTGCTAGCCTCTGTTTAATGCTTCGTTTCTCCCTCGTCCGGACTCCGAATCAGTCGCCGTTTGATCCCAGACGCTCGTAGTCTCGTCCTCTTTCGTTTCATAACAAGCTTGCATGCTTCTTTGTCCATAAAGTGAGGTAGAAATCCATTCTTCTTCAGGTCATGCCCGAGTTTCCTCTCTCGAATTGTCAATTGATCTCTGATTGACTTGAAACTTGCGCCTATGCTTCACTTTATGTGCTAGGACCTGAAATGGGACAAAGGAACACAACCTAGCATAAAATAGGCCACAACACACGAATATGCCCCTCAAACGGATAAGAACTAGGGGCGCAAACATGTGCAATTACATCGTTATCAAACTCCCCCACACTTAACCGTTTGCTTGTCCCCAAGCAAACCTAACTCAAACCAATGCAACTCTCCAGACCTCTATAGCAACAAACAACCTAGATCGTAGGTAGAGGACTTCCTAGATCATTTAGCAGCTTACGAGGTCAACCGACGCACAAGTCATCTCATAGCTTCTTCGGTCAGTCGGCATCATGGCAAACAGTGAACAGAGGACAAATGAATTGTGGATGAAGAGATTCTAAAAAACAAAAGATCATGGACTCACATTTTTCAAGGTGCTCGATTTTCTTTGAAGATGGTTGGAACCCCTTTTTCTGTTTTGCTTGTTTTCTGTTATTTTTCTTTTCTTTTTTTCTTTTCAAGGGTCCCAACCTGCTCTTACCGGCCATGCCAGGAGCGGATGTCTCGAGCCTCGTGCGGGGGAAAGACATGTAAGGGGGCTGGAGGTAGTAGGTGGAAATTGGGAACGGATTCCCGTCTCCCCTTACTACACTTTCGCCCTATTCGCACGGGAGACGTTTATTTTGAAGCACATTGTCGAGCACCTGTTATTTTCAAAACATGATACAAGAGTCCATGACAGGTAGAAAATCCACAACACCGCACAATTCAAGGGTCCTAAGATCACTAATTCACTCAATCAACCAACTTTATATGAAGAAGAAATGAGACTTCTTAAATGCATCAACATCCTCCATAGTGCTACACTACCTCCCTAGGTTGCATATTACTGTAAAGACTGTCAATTCAAAGCATACTGAGCAGGCAATTGCATGGAACACGTACTTGGAGCCCTCAAATTTAAAAATTTGGACAGTGGACTAGGCTCCAAGCACACAAACAGCCAAACATTCACCCGCATACATAATCGAACATCCCCCCACACTTAAGCACGACATTGTCCTCAATGGAGGAAAGATAAAGAGGGTAGAACGAAGTTACCAGATCAAGGGTGAATGATGATGAACGGGTCAGGCGGTGCATTCCAGAAAGAGAGAGTAATCAGAACACAAACACCACACAAAATCTCACAAAGGTTGAGTTATTGACTCGAAAATCAAAGAACAAAACTGACTCCACCGAAGAGAAATAGAGAAAGAAATGCAAACCGACTAGTTGGGTTGCCTCCCAACAAGCGCTTCTTTCACGTCGTGAGCCGGACGATGGCTCCTAAGTTTCGGTCCATGCTAGAACCTCCTTGAAGTTGAGGTTCTCGTCGATGAGGTGGAGTCTCAAGTCATGAGCATGTGATGTGGCAGGTGATGAAGGCTCATGTACTTGATGCAGATGAAGTCTCCACCCTCGAGACCTCTTCTTCTCTTCTCTCGTCTCATTGCCCCAAACCAGATAAGACAGCATCGATTGGCCACCATCGCGTCCACCAAGAGGGACCGATGTCGAGGTGGCCTTGGTCTGGCAAAGAGACACTGCAAATGGGTCCTTGCTAAGCAGTTCCTCGAGGTTTGGTGGAGATATCACATGTAACTCATGGCCAGTGCAGGCCTCTTCCACCTTAACTCCGTCCTCAGCCTGGACGCCAATTGCTTCTTCAGCCTCCCTTCCTTCTTCATGTGGTATCACCCCTGGGAAATGATCAAGAACTCCTCCTGCTTCACTTTCGTCATCCTCCACAACTTCTTTCTGCACCCTTTCTTGCTCTTCTTCTTCTAGCACGGATTGGAGAGCAAGTTGCCAAGCAATTTCTTTCATGAGATCTTCTTGCATCTCCTCACTCATGCCCGCCTCTTCAAAGCTCAGTTTGGGGTGTGGGAAGGTTTGGTCGGCTACGACAGGACACTCCTGATCATGATCATCACGGGAGCTCTCCGTAACAACTTCAGTGTGCTCCACAATGTCCTTGTAGCCTTCTTCTTCCTCCTCATCTTCTTGTATGGTAGCAGAAGGGTGATCTGGAGCAGGTTGCGCCCAAGATCGCTCAAGATCATCGACGCTCTTCTTAAGGCTCAGGAGGATCCCCTCTGTTTCACGATAGGCCTGGACACAATGATCCATACTGGAGCATGATCTCTCCATGAGAAGCCTCAAATCATAGTGTGGATCCGGCTGTGGAGTGTAGCATGGCTCTGCAGAATGGCCCGTGAAGGCCGCCATGGGTAATTCCAGCTCCAATGGCCCTTCTGGTTGTGGGAGAAATTCTTCTTGGTAATGAGGTTGTTCTTGATATGCCCAGGGGTCCGGTTGTTCTCCGTAATAAGGGGGTTGGTACTGGAACCCGAATCCATAGTCTTCTCCGCCTTGATTGCTCCAGGGAGTCTCGGGGTAATACCACCCAGATGGTGGTGGATACCCCCAATGATTGGAGAAGCCATGAGGATCCATGATTCAGATCTGCACCAACAAAAACAAAAACACCCAAGTGAAAAGCAAGGGTGGAAAAGAAAAGAAACGAAAAATGCTAAAGTAACAAACTTCTGCCTTTCCTAATACTCTAGAAAGTCCCCGGCAACGGCGCCAAAAACTTGACACTCCAAAAACACAACTCCTAACAATGGCCAAGTGTAACCAATGGAAGGGACTGCAGTATAGTGGCTCAAGTGATAAATATCGAATCCACGGGTCTCTAGAGTTACTATTACTCAGCTTCAGTTTATTATTTAGCAAACCAGATTAAGATGAAAGAGCTAAAACTACTCTAGCAAACTACAGTTAAAGTTAATCTAATTACAGGTTGGGAACTCACTTAGGTATGATTCCCCCTAGCCACTAGCCAGATTAACGATTGATGATCTCTAACCTGTTTCACTTTCATGCACAATGCGGAGAATCCTTGACTAGACCTTGAGTCTCGACTAAAGGAACAAGGCCCTCTTGAGTCAATTGCCTAGAGGGACGTATCCTTCTCTAGAACAACTGATCAAGGCGTTCTGAACTAGACTCCCTCTATCAAAAGAGGTTCTCAATCGATACAAAGCAGTGAATCAACCCTCGACTAAAGCAATCGATCCACTACTATCAATCTATGGTGCTCTATTGACCTAATCAGGTATTCCCTCTCATAGGATCAAAGCAGAATCAATAATCTCGACTAAAGCAGAATTGAATCATGAAAACATGCATAGATTGAATATGAACTCAAGATTATCCAGTCAGAGTACTCATACAATCATCCAATCAAACAAACATAGCTAGGGTTCCTCAAAACCTAAGTGAAGGGAAGTTACTCCATAGAGAAGAGAGAGACTGCAGTAAGAATCTTCAGATGATCAGTCTTCAAGTTCGGGCTTGTTCCTCGAGCTTCCAAGGCGAAGAAATCCTCCTTCTCTACTCCAAGAATGCCCTCAAATCGCCCTCTCTCTCTAGGGTTCGTCCCTTGGGTGTTTGGGATCCAAAACCCAGCTCTCCCCCTTCTTTGGTTCGGAATTTGGCTTAAAACCAGGAAATCCCGACTCGCACGGCCAGGGTGCACGGCCGTGCATATCACCATTCTGGCCGTGCAACTCAAAACGCAGCGTGTCATTTAGTCGAACCTCAGCCCTCTCGCACGGCCAGGGTGCACGGCCGTGCGAGCTTCAGGGGTTGCCCGTGCGTGTCCTCGGCATAAGGCGCACGGCCATATTGCTCACGTGCACGGCCGTGCAGCCTCCCTGGTCTGCCCGTGCAGCTTGCTAGCCTCTGTTTAATGCTTCGTTTCTCCCTCGTCCGGACTCCGAATCAGTCGCCATTTGATCCCAGACGCTCGTAGTCTCGTCCTCTTTCGTTTCATAACAAGCTTGCATGCTTCTTTGTCCATAAAGTGAGGTAGAAATCCATTCTTCTTCAGGTCATGCCCGAGTTTCCTCTCTCGAATTGTCAATTGATCTCTGATTGACTTGAAACTTGCGCCTATGCTTCACTTTATGTGCTAGGACCTGAAATGGGACAAAGGAACACAACCTAGCATAAAATAGGCCACAACACACGAATATGCCCCTCAAACGGATAAGAACTAGGGGCGCAAACATGTGCAATTACATCGTTATCACGAGCCCACCTCACGGAGATCAAACAGGCGGCATTCACAGAATACCACCTGATGGGGGCAATTGTTGGGTGTATGGCTCGGGTCTAGCCGCGCCAAGGAAACAGTCCGACACCGCCCCGGAAAGGTCAGGCGTGTTAGCACCATCATGCCCAAGGCTACACTCGCGTGAGGATCACGGGCTCGGAGAAGGCCGCACTCGCGGGCGAAGATCCCAGATGCCGAACGACGCCGTTTTGATCAGGCATTGACCAAACCCAAAAATCAAGAAAACGACATCGTATTCCCCGAAGAGTGGTCACATCATAGCCCTAGGTATAATCATGGACAAATTGTCTAGTCCTAGGTAGAGGTATGGCATAAACGCCTGACATGTTAGTAGTCATATCACATTTAATACTCACTCACCATCATATAGCCTACAAATTGTCTAGTTCTATCTATCTCAGGTTGCAGCAGAAATCAAGAAAAGCTGATCAGACTTCAATCAATTCAATGAAACATGCATCATTCGATTAAAACCAAACAGTATAATCATCCCAAGTCATTACAGTCAAAATCCTAACACATGGAACTAGGGTTCTTTATACCCAAGTGAGAGAAGGGTTCTACTCCATAGAGAGAGAGAGGAAAACAGAAATCAGAGTAGTCATACTCATAAAGATGAGGAAAATCTGCTATGGGAGTCAATCTTCACCCTGGGGACGCAATCTGGGCTTCAATGGTGAGAAATCCACTCCAAATAGCTCCTAGGGTTTGCTCTTCGCCCTTTCTCTCTCTAAAACTCTGTTTTGCTCTGAAAAGTCGATTCCCTCTGTTTTGGCTCGAATCTGCCTCAAAAACCCTATTTTGGGAGAATTACGGGCAAAATTACGACCGTAATTGTGGTCTTCCCGTAATTGCTCAAAACGCGCGTTTCACTTCACTCGGAAGACAGGATTTACGGTCGTAATTTGCCAATTACTGCCAGTAATTCTAGAATTACGACCGTAATTAAAGTGACTCTTGCCTCTAATTGACTCTGCGAGAGGAATTCTGGAAATTAGGCTCGGCATTGAAATTACGGGCATGCCAGGAGCAATTATGACCATAATTGTGCAGGGGCTGCCCGTAATTCTCTCTTTGAAACGCACCTCGACCTCCAAATGACCCGAAACTTGCGCCTTTGCACCTCTTTACTTGCTAGGACCTGAAATACGCCAAAACAACACAGCCTAGCGTAAAATAGGCCAAGGATCAGAAAACAAAGGTGAAACATGTGCAAATAGGATGCTATCAAATTCCCCCACACTTAACCGTTTGCTTGTCCCCAAGCAAACCAAGCCAGATACAAGGTAAGCTCGAAATATCTCAATCATGCAACCCCTTGGGGACATATCAAATAGGCACGAAACATGGGAATCATACTGGCTTTCAAACATCAACACCTGAACAACTTCAACCTCAACCTGGACAACCACCACAGAGGACATTCGAGTGCAGCAAAATCGAGCAAAGGAGGAGTTTCCCTTCTGTTCACCAACCAACCTAGACTAGACTCAACCACTTATTCAAGACAGTCAACTCATGCATAAAACTCAAGATATCAGAATCAAGACCGAGCCATCTAGGTCCTCACTGGGGTAAAGAGTGTAAAGAACAAGGAAATGAATCGCTCACTCTCGACCAGTGGGGTCGGGACAATTTGATGCGAAAAATGCGCATACTTATTCTCTCAATCCCTAACATCTCTTCACCATGACGGCAGCCTCTAAATGTTAGAGTTCACATAAATGGTTGTCATCACTAACTAATCCGGAGGTCTTAGACACAGGTTCAAATGACTGGCTAGGGTCTTGGACATGGGGAAAAGGCCTTTTAGGTGGTGGAAGTATTCATAGCACAAGGTTCCACAATTCCAAACCCAACACATTCACAACCAATCGAACCAGTACTTTCTTTCCGCCATTCTGCATTACTCAAATTCTCTAGAGCACAAGAGCGAAGGAGGTCACATAAATGCTAGTATTTCCAAGCCAGACTGCTAAGAAACACTACTTAATGGGCACTATTTAGATTTTTCGTGGTGGCTCTCTTTTGCTTTCATTTTTTCTTTGTTTTTCTTTCATATTTTTCTCATTTCTTAAGAGAACCACCACCTCTGCATATTTTTCAAACACCTGCCCAACTTTTTAAGAACTACCCCCAACTCTCACATTATATTTAGCAGAAACAGCAGAGAACATGTAAAAACCACTCTGTGGAACCTTCTAAGAGATGCAAAAGGGTGATTTTTCATTGTAGACCGAAAGAAAGGAGAACACACGGCTCAAAGGGGTTGACTAGGGGGTATGACACACCAGGACAGTCAATTTGGTCGTGGGCTAATCCTATGCCTCCATCATCTTAGCTAATGACAACGTGAATGCTACACATCATGGAAGAGGGAACTATCGCACAAGAAAGAAACGAGCAGTCTCAAATCTCACATGGCTACCTATATGCTCTATCTCTCATTCTGATTCCCTGAACTAGATGCATAAACGACTGTCAAGAAAAAGTGATCCATCCAAGTCACAGTTGGTAAGCAAACAGTTGAAAAACTGAACTCCTACACAACTCTACTGCATGTCTCAGTCATCATTATAGGTTGTCCTAGTCACAATCCAGTTGTCATGCATTCATTCGAAAGCCATTCGATTCACCAATTAAACCACAGTGCCAATATAATCAAGCAAACAACAGTGCTTGGAGCCCTCAAATCTCGATATTTGGACAGCGGACTAGGCTCCAAGCACACATTTATACATTCCAATGAATACAAAGAACCCCCCCCCCCCCCCACTTAAATGCGACAGTGTCTCAATGGAGCAGAGGGAAGGGGAACGATGTTATCGTGAACTAGTGGTCAGGAACGGGGACTGGAGGGCGGACCAGTCAAAGAGCAGAGGACTGGATAAGGACTAATCCAACAACACAGAGCTACAGTCAGCAAAACACACACATGGGGTGAAAGAAACCATAGTTCCAAGTCTACAATCCAAAGAAACAAGACAAGAGAAAATGAAACACAATATGGAGTCTGAGTCTTAGTCTGGAAACACAATATGGAGCCCAACTCGATGGGCCAGTAGGCCGAGCCAGATCAGTTCTAATCGCCTCCACCGCCAGTGGGAGGCGGGTAGAAATCCTCATGCCCCGGGGAAGCCTCCCAAGGGTAGCAAACAGCAGCAGGGTCCATGTTCCAGTAGCTCATCATGTAATGCTGAGCCGAAATGATGCGGATCCGACCTTCGCGCTCACGGTCGAGTCGAGCGTTGATGTGCTCCTGGCCAGCTGCTCATTTTGTCGAGAAATGTTGGCCAGCTGCTCAGCAATGTAGGAGGTGGGTGCAGCAGCAAATTGGCCGGCAGCAGAAGTGGATGCGCCAGCTGCAGAAGGTGTGGTCCGACGATTGGTCCGACGAGCTACAGCATCGCTCGACTCGGGGATATCCTCGCCCTCTGGTGCACGAGGAACAGGACGAGGAAGCCCGCAGATCCAGGTCACGTCCCCGTCCCGCTGCAGTATCAGCTGGCGCCGGAGGGTGACCCTGGAGAAGGGAGTCGGTGGGAGGATGACAGTGAACCCGGAGAGGTCGATGTTGAAGTACCGGGCCAGGGCAGTGACCACCGGCCCACAAGCCAGAGCACGACCACAGCGAGAAGCCTTGACGACCGTTCTGCGATGAGAGAGGACAAATGAAGATTATCTTCCTCCTGCTGATGGAGTGCAGGCAGTGCAAGGTGCGGAGCTGAAGATGACTGGTGGAGCCATCGCTAGGGGTGTACGATTTCCCCAACAGCTGGTTGAGGATGCGCCACTCTGGGCGCAGCTGAGTAGCCGTGGTGTAGCCCGGTGTGAACACAACGCCTGCGAACTCCGGGAGGCATATCCTCTCGAAGAATTGCTAGTCCCGAAAGATGGGACTGTCGGGCTCTTCGATGGCCAGGTGGCAGGCGAATGGTGGAAGGATCCCCAGTGCCCGACCGAAGTCATCATAGTTGAGGGAGTAAGACACCCTGCCAAGTCGGAACTGAATGGCGTTGCCGTGCGCGCACGCGTGGGTCTGGAAGTGCTCGAAGGTGGAATAGAACTCCCAGAGGAGCTCATGATAGATTGGCTCAGCGAGGCAGAGGAGGCGGCGCCAAGAGTAAGCGCGGATGGCAGCCTCCATTGCCTCGCGAGCACCCAGTGCCTCGAAGACCGCCCAATCAAGGTAGTGGTGCTGAACGACTTTGCGGCGTCGGATGTCCCGCAGAGTCTTCCTCTGGTCGGCGTCGAGCATGTTCAGGTAAGTGTTCATTGTCATGCAGCCAAAAAACAGCAAAAACACAACAACATACATGGAAATTTGTCAATGGTGAGTTCACAATCATCTGCACCTGGTGCCCTCGAATCATAAAATTCGGACAGTGGACTAGGCCTAAGGGGAGGAAACAACATTCAGGACCATTCACCATCCACACAAGATTAAACGCACTTGGAGCCCTCGGATAGTAAACCCGGACAGCAAATTAGGCTCCAAGTGGGACAATCACAAATACATGCAGCCCGGTAGGCCAACCAAAGTAGTAACAACAAAGCATGCAATACCGTAGGCCTACCGCATTAATTCATGCACAATCTAATCCCCGAATTTCCTCACTAAACCCATAATACCAATCCTCCACAATTCACAAGTAAAAATAGAGAAGCACACCTGGAGGCACAAGGAGGTATCACAGGGAAGGTGAGGGAAGAGTGAGAGAACACGACAATCGCCGGGAAACTCGCCGGAAGGCTCGCCGGAGTTTTGTCGCCGGTGACTTCACCACCACCAAACTTACCCAAAACTTTGGGGAATGAGGCTCCGGATGCCAGGAACGCAGTGGTGGTCGCTGTTTTCTGATTGGAGGTCGGAGGAGGGAGATCGAGCCGAAAGAACACCGAAGGTTCGCGGTTTGCCGGCGACCAAAACCACCGCCAAACTCGACCCCACTGGTATGGGCTTGAGCGCGCCGACGAGAGGAGCGCGGGGGTGGTCTCGGATTTTTATTTGGAACTCCGGTGAGGGAGTTATGGCCGGAAAACCACCTGAGAAGAAAAGGGGGCGATTTTCCGGTGAAGGAGAGAGAGAGGGCGACCAGAAAGATGAGGAGAGAGAAAGATTTTAAGGGTGTCGCCCAAAATTTAAATCTCCAGGGTCAATTACGGGCATAATTACGACCGTAATTTGCCCCTACTCAGCCCGTAATTTTAACGTCGCACGCAAACTGCTCCCCTGTGCTAATTACGTGCAGGATTACGACCGTAATTAGTCTGATCCTGCCCGTACTTTTACTGCCGAGACAAATCCCCTCTTCTGAGATAATTACGGGCAGGGGAATGACAAATTACGACCATAATTGCCCCCCCCCCCCCCTCCCCCTTGCTTGTAATCTCACTGCCGCGAGTCCTTTTCTCAGATTTTTAAACCACAATTTCGCACGGCCAACATCATTCGTGCCCCGGCTCCAAAATAGACACCACCACAGAAAAAAATATACCATTCGGGGCACGAGAAACATTCCAAAAAGAATCCAGACAGACTCACAGACTCAAAAACCAACAAAAATTGAAATGAAAAAAGGATAGAAATGCAAACCGTAGTGGGGTTGCCTCCCCACAAGCGCTTCTTTACCGTCTTTTAGCTGGACGCCAATAGAGGAACTAAGGGTCCTCGAGCTTGATCAGTAGCTCTGCGCGCTCGACAGCACCTCCCAAGTACAACTTTAGGAGGTGGCCATTCACCTTGAATGGCTCGGTTTGAGCATTGCTGATCTCCACCGCACCGTGAGGGAAAACTTGGATGACCGTGAAGGGTCCCGACCACCTCGAACGTAGCTTGCCCGGGAAGAGTTTCAGGCGTGCATTGAAGAGCAGAACAGGATCACCTACCTGAAACTCCTTCGGGCCTCATAACCGAGCGTCGTGGAGACGCTTGGTTTGCTCTTTGTAGAGCAGGGTGTTCTCCTAGGCGTGGTAACGCCATTCCTCCAACTCCAGCAGCTGCAACTTACGTTCAGTACCTGCAACACTCAAATCCAGGTTTAGCAGCTTAATGGCCCAGAAGGCCTTGTGCTCTAGCTCTACTGGCAGATGACACGCCTTCCCATAAACAAGCCTATAGGGAGAAGTGCCAATCGGGTTTTTATAGGCCATCCTATATGCCCAAAGAGCATCATCGAGCTTGGTGGACCAATCCTTGCGGGACTGATCCACAGTCTTTTCAATTATCCGTTTAAGCTCCCGGTTTGTCAGCTCGGCTTGCCCATTTGACTGGGGGTGGTAAGCCACCGACACCTGATGCTTAACACCATAGCGAGAGAGGAGTTTAGTGAATTTCCCTTGAAAATGGGTTCCTCTATCACTAATGATGGCGCGGGATGTCCCGAACCGGGAGAACAGCAGCTTCAGAAATGAGCAGACTCGACGTGCATCATTGGTGGGCATGGCTTGAGCTTCTGCCCACCTCGAGACGTAGTCCACTGCAACCAGAATGTATAGATTTCCAAAAGATGGAGGGAATGGGCCCATGAAATCGATACCCCAAACATCAAAAATTTCACAAATGACAGAAATATGTTGGGGCATCTCATCTCGGGCAGAAATGTTAGCTGACCTTTGCCAGCGGTTGCACTGTCGTACGAAGGTGTCTGCATCCTTGAAGAGTGAGGTCCAATAGAAGCCCGACTGTAGTACCTTCCACGCCGTGCAGTTTCCTCCATGGTGACCTCCAGTAGGCCCCTCGTGGCAGTGAGACAGGATGTCTCCCATATCGTGCTCCATGACACAGTGCCGGATCACGCCATCTGCTCTGATCCTGAAGAGGTAAGGATGCTCCCAGAAGTAATGCTTCCGGTCGGAGAAGAACTTGCGCTTTGCATGAGTGGCCATCCCCTGTGATAGCTGCTTGCCCACCAAATAATTGGCAAAGTCAGAATACCAAGGGACCACGCTTTCCACCAGTGTCATCGCCAGCAATCTCTCACCCGGGAAGGAGTCA